TGATTATTGAGAAACAAGTGTGAGTTCTAAGTCCCACATTTCTTATAAAAATTGAGGTTTAACACTTTATAAGTAAGAGGACTCATACACCTATCAACTTAACATTTTAGTTGAATATGTGGTGTCTCTCTCACTTGTTTAGGTGATTATTTGACCTTTAGGTGAGTGTTTGATCCAATGTGAATGCTTCCCCTTCATGATGAGCCATCAGTGGTATCAGAGCTGATGGTTCGAGTAAAAGATTAGCTCCTTGTGTCGAAAGTCTTTCTAAAATGGTGGACATGGTGGTCAAGCGCCATGTTCCTTTGATGTTCCCATGACGAGATAAGGGTGTCTCTCAATAACGGTAAAAGCATGTGGATGAAAGAGCTTTCTCTTGAGGGGGAGTATAGTTGATGGACTCACGCTTGAGCATGAGATTATTAAGAAACAAGTGTGAGTTCTAAGTCCCACATTGCTTAGAAAAGTGGAGGTTGAGCTATTTATAAGTAAGGGGCCCATACACCTATCACCTTAAGATTTTGGATGAATATGTGGTGTTTTTCTCACTTGTTTGGGTGAGCCTTTGACCTTTAGGTGAGTGTTTGACCCAATGCGAATGTTTCCCCTTCATGATGACCCATCGGCGATTTCTAGGTGACTCTTCCTAATCTTTATCATAGTAAGTTATTATTTCATATTTGAATTGAATCGAACCACTCGTGGTCCTCTTTGGTGTTGTTGGTTCTTGATGGCTTTGATCAACTATTTCAATCCTTTAAGCCCTTTCATTTTGTACCTCGAGATTTTTTTATTTCTTGTTTACGAAAACCAACAGACCTATCAGTCATATGTTTGTCTCCTCATTGGTAATATGAGTCGACGGACCCCATGAATGTTATGTGTTTTCGTCACCCTAGGTATCCAGAGATGTTAACCCTCTAGCTAGTAAAGATATTGTTGGTGGTTAGACAGGAGATTATATGAAAGTTGTGATCGTCGATGAAGGACGCGGGGGAACTTATGTTAATGTGATGAAGATGTTGTGAGTTTATCCTCTGGCCCGTGGGTGGCTCTAACAATCTTGGTGACTAAATATTGGTGTGGCATAGTCACTTGTTGTGTTGTGTTTCTTTTTTCTTTTTTCACTTTTGTGTAATATTGGAGTGGTACAGTAACTTGTTGTGTTATGGTTCATGAAAGTATTATTCTTCTATAAAATTCATCTTTAAGTCTTTCTCATGGGGTAATGAAGATGTTTGTAAGATACATTGGACTAAGTGGGATAAAGTAGAGTTTATTTATTGTTCTTCAATAAAATTCATCTTTCAGCAGTAGAGCTTATTTATTATTCTATGGTAATTGTTTTCATTAGATATGGTGTGCCTCAATGGTTTCCCCAAACAAGTTGTGTCTCTGAATGTCAAAGGTGTTGTTGTGAAGGCGGTAGATGCTGGCGACCAATTTAAAAATGAGCAAGAGTTTGAATGTTGTGATCACATGCTTCAATGGATTTGTATGGAGGCCTTCAAATAGGGATTTAGTATGGTTATTAGAAGGTTCGATAATGGTTCGGATAGAAGATGTGCTTTTGTGACAATGACGTGCGAAAGAAGCGTGAAATATAGATTTTCTCACCAAAATTTTATACGAGACGACACCGATTCAAGAAAATATGAGTGACTCTTTCAAATACATGGTTATATGTTGACAAACAAAATCAGAGATTTAATGTCATGTGTGGTTCGCATAACCATGATAATTGTGAAAAGTTAGGCTTTCATCCAATTGTGTGTCGGCTCATGCCAAAAGAGAAGGAATGTTTTGTTGACATGACATTGAATTTGGTTCAACCGAAAAATATACTTGCAACATTGAAACAGAAAAGACTCTAAAATATCTCAAATATCAAGCAAGCGTACAATCTTCAATACCAAATTAACAAGGTACTGAGGGGGGATAGAACTGAAATGCAACAACTCTTGAAATTGTTGGATGATAACAGTTATGTGTCTAGATACCGAAGTGCGAGGGTGGAGGTATCGTTAGAAATATATTTTGGACTCATCCGGATCCATCGAATTGTTCAACATGTTTCCTATTGTGCTCATACTTGATTCAACCTACAAGACCAACAAAGTATATAATTCCATTATTGGAGATGGTTGGGGTTACCTCTACTGAGAATACCTATTCATTTCTAGAGAGTGAAAAAGAGGAGAATGTTACTTGAGCCTTAGAGGTGTGTCAGAAACTGTTGAAGTACCAAGAAGAGATGCTTAAAGTGATTGTTACTGACTGCTATATTGGCTTGATGAATTCGGTTGCAAAGGTATTTTCTAATTCTTACACATTACTTTGTTGGTATCACATAACAAAGAATGTGAGAAGTCCGGTTAAACCCATGGTAGGGACGAAACAGATAGAGCCCGAAGATGGAAAAATGGTGAAGGCAAGTATGGTTATGGAAAATATAATGGATGCATGGAATCATATAGTAAATTCTTCCACTAAAGAATTGTATGCTGATTCCGTTATGCATTTCAGGAAAGTGTGTGAAAAGTATTCTGATTTGTTGAAATACATTGAAATCACAACTCTTAACCAGGTGAAAGAGAGAATTGTTTGTATTTGGATTGATCAAGTTAGACACCTTGGAAATACAGCAACTAACCGAGTTGAGTTTGCTCATGCTACATTGAAGAATTGGTTGGGAAATAGTAAGGGCGGTTTGTGTAGACATTGGGACTCCGTGAATAAAATGATTCAGAACCAGCATAATGAGATACAAACATCATTTGGTCAGAGCATTATTTGGTCAGAGCATTATTTGGTCGGAGCATCACAGTTTTAGAACACAGATTTAAAGACAACAATCTTTATTCTCATTTGGTCGACAGTATATCTCGTGTGGGTTTGAATTATATTTTTTTACGAGGCTAAACGAGTTAATAATATAGACTTCGGTAGCGCAAAGTGTGGATGCACAACTGTGAAAACATATGGTCTGCCATGCGCTTGTGTTATTGCCAAAAAGTTGAAAATTGGTAGCCCAATAAGAATGGACGAGGTTTTCACTCACTAGAAGAGGCTTCGGTTCAATGATGTTGGTGTCATGAAAGATAGTAAATCGAATATCTCTATCTTGACCGAATGGGAAGTGATACAAGAGAGGTTTTTGAAAGTCGATGACAACTTGAAACTACACATTAAAGAACAATTGAGGAAGATCGTTTATCCGGAAACCACCGACTTGAAACCAACCCTCTCAATCGATGAAAACAAAAGGTGCTCCAAAGAAACTCAAGGCTACACCGTATGACAATACGGCGACACGGTCTTATTCATATTTTAAACATGTTAACAATATTTTTCCAGACACACTAACTCCAAAATCTCAAAAAAGTGTTGTCAAAAGAGCTCGCATTAGCAAACCACTTCCTTCGCCACCTCCGCCAAATATTCCATTCATTAACGAGATGCCGATTTTTATGCACAAATACATCGAGTGGATCATCAATGTTGAGGGGGGCGATAATTGTGGATATTGAGTTGTTTTGGCTTTACTCGATAAATGAGAAGATAATCATACACTTGTCCGACATCAACTTATCCAAGAGTTGAGAACTCATAAAGAATCATACACACATTTGTACGGAAAGAAAGAACGCTTCGATGAAGTTTATGAGTCTCTTGTTCCTTGCCTTAATGGACCGGCACCAGAGGCAAAATGGATGTGCTTCTTTAAAATGGGTCACCTCATAGCATGTGCATATGATAAGGTGTATGTTTATCTTATATGATACAGCTTTTTGAAAATTGTTTTCCCATTGCGTATTGCTCCGCCTCAAAATCCAAATGATCGTATTATATGTATTGGGTGACTTTCAAAATCACGACATTTTGTTCAAGTTTACTTGAAACCTGGATGCCCTATACCACTTACATTACCGGAGTGGACAGCTCATTCAACAATAAAAGCGAGACTTAGCCTGACCATTTTGTAAAAAGGATACAAGAGTTCGAAAAGTTGAATAATATTAAAAGAGAATCAAATATTCAAAATTTGTTTATATTCAATTTTTTAATATTTGTTTATATATATTCATTTTGTTTATGCTCAAAAAGATATTTCTAAATATTAATTAAGTGTAATATATTCAATTTTTAATATTTTAATATAATATAATTGATATTTCTACCAACATTTGTTTATTTGTTAAAGAAAATCTTCAAATAAGTTCTATTTACAAAATCTTCAAATAAGTTCTATTTTTCAAAGGTCTGTTTTGTAACTGGTTCAGGAGAGGTTCCTAAGATCTAAAAGTTTAAATTCACAAAGTACACCTCTCTCGCAGATCTAAAATACGAAATCCACAATCTTCTACCTTACAAAAACAACCGAAAAATTGAAAAGATCGATTACCATTCATCGTCAATTGACAACGAAAAAAAGATTGAGTTCAACAACTTTAAGATCAAGATACATGCAAATGTAAAGGCTACGTAAAATACGTATTTTTGTTTTGAAATAAGTTTCACTCGAGTTGAAAGCAATGATTTCAAAATCGATCAAAAATATTGTGAAAATATTGAAACGTTTAACTGGAGATTAAAGTAAAATATCAAATTTTATGTTGAAATTAACTATGTAAATTTTATCTTATGAATGTTGTTTTCATTTTGTCAAATTACTGTTTATTTGCTTCTGCCTCTGGCAAATTACCGAAATGTATCTGAGATTTAAAAAATCCAACTATATAAGAGATGGGAGTCTAAATTGCCTTTTCAACAAACTAAGTCAACAAAATAACGTGCTCAAAATAGTATATTACAAATATTAGTAACATTCTCCTCTATAGTTCTTAGAATAAGGATGGCATGCTGTCTACAACAGACAATAGATGAATCTACATGAGTACACTCCATGTAAGATTCACATTACATGGATCATGACAGTAATGAAAATACACTAAACTTCAAAATCATGTATAAAATTATCAGTTTTCACAAACAAATTATTAGTGGAAAGCTGCAACCTCGTCATTGAAGTGTTTGAGCAGATTCTCAATGCTCATAACGCTATGGTCTGCCTTATCCCTGACTCGTACACTCACCTGGAACAAGGAAAACAACTCTTAATTTGGTATACAGAGTAAGACGACTCGTGTTGTACTCTATACAGCACCGATTAAAATCATAAACCATAGGTCAAACACAATATAAAGACATTTTATTAGAGAAAGAAAATGGGAAGGGTTTATTGACGGTTTTGGGAGCAAAACTGAACCGAATCTATTAATCAGATGTTGGAAATAGGAAGAACCTGTCCTGAATTAGCCTCCTCTTCCCCAACAACCAAGATGTAGTTGTACTGTGCTAATTGCGCTTCCCGTACCTATAGAATGACAACTTGTTAATATAGTTCCTTCTTTAAACCTTAGAATAATAAAAGCTTACGAAAATAAAATAGAACTTTTAAATTGGCACTTGAACGGGGCCTTTTACAAATTCAAAATAGAGAAATGCTGCATCGCATGAATAAGATGAACATAACACTAAATAGTGACTATAAGCGACAGAACACAAAGGGGAAAAAACATTACTCAATATAAAACTCACTTTGGCAAATAGCCTAATTTCAACACTTGGAGAATATTTTAATATTATTAACTGACAAATTTTCCCGTGAATGAATAGCATGAAGTATTAAATAAAAATTGATTGGTTCTAAAGGTATGTGATAATACCTTCTTCTGAATCTTCCTGTCAGTTGTATCAGCATCTACATGATACCCTGCTTGGTGGATCTGATCTCGTACCTAGAAAATTACAGTACAAAAATGTTATAAAAATAAGCAGCACCTGGTTTTTCAGGTCAAAATATTAATATCCAACAAAAATAGAATTAGAACAATAACGTTAGGTAATAGAACTATTCAAAGAAGATTGCTGAAACTTCATGAAGAAGCTACCACATAAAAAGTATATCTAATAAGGCTTGTTGCAGACTCATAATACACAAAGTGGTACAAGGATTTGATGCAATTGTATCAGCTGCATGGAGTAGCAGACCACGATTTAAAAAGCATGAAAAGTGACATGATGCCACAAAAATTTACCCTCCAAGGGATTAAAAGTGTTATCCAATGATATGGATTACACGCCATCACCCGTCTAACTGTTATCATATGACTTCGACAAATATACAACAGACTAAAGTCAGGAAACAGAGCTGTGTACCTTCAGAGCATAAGCTTGTGATTTCTCAGAAACAGGACACAAAATTGCTTGACGAGGACTGAGCCAGAAGGGCCATTTACCCTTGTAGTGCTCTAAAAGTATAGCAAACATCCGTTCAACCGATCCTAGAATGGCTCTGTGTATCATAACAGGCCTCTCAATTTTGGCTTCATCCTCAGCTGAGAATTCCAACTTAAAACGATCAGGAAGCTGAAAGTCAAGCTGCAAAGAGCCAGTTTAACTAATAGTCAGTAAAAATAATTAACTGAACCATGTGAATGCAAGTCAGGCCAAACAGTGTAAACCTGTAGAGTTGCACACTGGAATTTCCTACTCAATGCATCAGATACACTGATATCTATCTTTGGTCCATAGAATGCACCATCCCCTTCATTCAACTGCAGAGATTTACTCAGACTATAAGCACATAATCAAAGGTAACAAATGATGCATTACATTGAAAATAATAAAACAGATATAAAGAAATAAAATAAAAAGGATGTATGAATCATGAGAAAATAAAAATAGTATCAAGTAAACCTATAGTTGAATTCGAACTTGAAAAGCATACATCATATCTTATACAATATATTAAAGACTTCTAGAATTACCTGCCATGGCTTGCCAAACTCATTCAAAGCCTCCTTGAGAGCACTTTCAGCCCTGTCCCATGTTTCATCATCACCAAGCTTATTCTCTGGCCTCTACTCAAGTATTTAACACAAGCAAGGCAAAATAAATAACTGAGTCATTAAATAGATTAATCCAATTACTAACAGAAGAGGCTACCAAGCTTATCATGTATCATAAGAAAAGAAAGTAACAAGAGCGGAAACTACCAAGCTTAGATAATGATCAATATTTCCAAAACTATCAATTGATAGCAATCTCTATCGGCAAAAATGCAGGTTCGCATTATTGATCGAAAGAGAAGAAAACAACTAGACCAAAAGCTCCTGCGCATGAATGATCAATGATCTCTAGCCCGGAAACTATTTGCTTACTACTTTTCCTATATAACAAGTATCTCTTATTTCTCTATTACTACCTGTGTTGCAAAGGTACGGGTACATACCCAGTATCCGGTATGGATACTGATACAGAATACGGCATTTTTAGAAAAATTAATGTACGGGTACGCGAGTATAAATCCACATGTGTTTCGATTTTTCTCAGCAGAAGATGAAGGACTTGGTTTTGCAAGGAGTTTCAAATGCAATGGATTAAAATTGAGGGATTGAAGATCCATAAGTTATCCACCATTCTTTTGGTCTCAAGATCCACCGATCTTGCAACGAATCAAATTGGCCAAACTCTACATCAGCACTTGAAAAGCCCACTAAAAAAGTCTAAAACTATACCATTAGAAGAAAAATTTGAATTCGCGTACCCATTATGTACCCAATATGTAGCCGTTGGAGTATCGACTTTAAAAAAAAAAATTAAAAAGCAGGTACGGTGTCGGTATGTACCATACGAGTATCGTACGCATACCGGTACCCAGTACGTACCCGGTACCGGTACTTTGCCTAAAATGGAGTACCCATGCTTCACAGATTACTACGCTTATATCACACTCATTTACAGTCCCAAGGTTAAATTAGGATCCATGAAAGAGCAATACAACCTTTTTTTTAAAGGCAAGCAATACAAGCATATATTGGCAAGAGAAAAAAAAAAACCTTAGTAGTAAGCTAAGATAAAGAAGGAAAAATGAATTTCCTCCTTCATATGAGCATCAAATGCTAAGTGATGGACACTGAGAGTAATAAAGAGCAAATGCATACTGTTGAAAGTTTCAGTTCATATGTGAAACCGAATATTTGATAGACATAATCAATGAAGTCCAAGGCTTTTCTGACTTCGTCTTTAACCTGTAAAATGAATTGATACAGTAATTTCAGCTTCGGCTTAAAAGATATTATAAAACATTATATTACATGAATTTACGTTCAGTTCAACGCACCTGTGACTCCATGCAGAAAATATGTGCATCATCCTGTCCAACACACAAAGTAAAGGGCGTAAACAATACAGAACTTCTAATAGTATAGAAAATAAAAGTTAAAGATAAGGTGATAATCAGTATATAGCTTCCAATGTTCCTCCACTTGTAATTGTACCATACCTTTAGATAAATGAAAAATATCATGGGAAAAGAAAATTTGATTATTTATCTACTCTATAACTCATATCCACACAGGGAATATAATAAGAGTGGCTTGGCTTGGTGGTAGGGGTGGAGGAGAGAAGGACTGGAATGAATGTCATTCACACCATAAATACAATCCCTAGTTTGTTTAAAAAATCTAAACATTTCCAATACACCTTTTAGCATTGTTTCTGCACCAAGTTAAAACATTGAATTATCAAGACACAAAACTGTAGTTTGAATTCCAATAGGAGATTTTTGTATTTCCTAGTATTCACTGAGTCTGCGTGTAAGCCCACAAAATTGAAAGAATTTGCTGGGTACCCTAACTTACATATGAATATGGTATCAATGTGAAACACCGATTTACATGTGAAGCATAAATATCCACCATTGGGTAAAATTAATAATTAAATCATCAGTTTGATTTGATTAACAATAAAACTGTGCTGATACATAATTTGATTTCTTGTAATTGACTCCTCAAATTAAATCCCCGGTTCCAAACACCCCTTTCCCCCACCTATTTCACCTCTCCAAATCTCGTGTAGAAGATGTGGTGAGCACCCATGTCTGGGACTGCAAGCCAAGCCTCACTTGCAGTACATGCAGCTAGTTATTACTGAGAACCGCATCTAAGGAACCACAAGTGGATCCAAACATGGTGGAACGGCTAGTTTTGGGGTCCCATTAATAGAATTCTCATGTTATGAAGTGCAACTGACTGACTGAGCAGGGTGCATGTGACGGTGGCAATGTCAAATACTCCCTCCGGAATGAAATATATGCAAAAAATAATCAGTATTTCATTCCAAAGGGAGTATGATGCAATCAAGAGATTGATATATCCCATTTTTCGATCCAGTACTCCCTCACCTCACCCCTCACACACTTAACAAATAACCATGGTGACCAAGGTGATGATGTCATTTTCCCAAAGCAATGACCCAACTTGCCTACAATACAGCCATGAGACCTTCTCCATGACCCAACGTGACTACAATACAGCCATGAGACCTTCTCCATTCCCCAACGTGAGTTTGAATTGTGGTCTATACTTTCAAAGCAGCTGCACTAAATTAAAGGTCAAAAGCAAAAGCCACCACCAATGTTTGAGGATCTGCATTCAGGGCATTCCAAGCCTGAGATGCCGTTTTGAAAACGCTCAACCTTTTTTCAATTTTAAAACAACTAGGGAGGGACTCTACATTGATCTCACATTTTTAAAATGTCTACACACAATAACCAACAGCTTCTATTGCAGGTCATTTTACAGATGTATTGGTGAACATCCATTGGGGTGCCCCACATTTCAGATTAGAAGCCAACTATAAATGTAATCAAAGATAAAACAAAGAAAACTGATCCCTTCCACAGTTCCGCCAAAACTTTTATTTTGTTATCCTTGTATGTATAGTACATGATAAAGATTCACCTGCTGAAATCTCCTAACACGCGTCAATCCACTTAGGGCACCACTGGCCTCATTTCGATGCAAAACCCCAAAATCAGCAAAACGAAGAGGAAGTTCTGCAAAACAATAACAGTGTTGTGAGATAATATTTTATACAAAAATATCAGCTCTATCTAAAAATATTCAAACTATACAGTAATTCAATAAACAAAAATGGAAACTAAATTATATCTCCCTTCCATCACACCAAAATATGATTTTTAGTCTATTTCCTGTTCAATTTTTTGACATGATTGAAAAAATCTTGCTCTTGATGCCAAAATGATTTTATATTGAAAAATACAGCTTATTAATAAACCACTTCCTTGAGCTATATGTGAATATGTAAGCAAGAGGAAAGATGAGACCATATAAAATAACACTGGACATGTATTACTCAATTTAGGCGTATTCAAATAAATGTTAATCCATTAACCAAGTAGCTCAAACAGATGCATTATCCTGATTTCAACAATAAATTCTGGACTAGCTCAGCCACCACGAGTATGGATATAAAAGATGTCATTTGAATCATATGTTTATGCAAATGAAAATTACCTCTATATGAACGAACTCTGTGTTTAAACATCAAGCAGTGTCCTGGGCAATTCATTGGTTTCAATCCAAACTCTTGTTTGTCAACCTAAAACACAATATTTATAATTTGGTTAGATAAATTGACTGTGTTCAAAATAAACAACCTATTAAGAAGGTTTTGTAGAAAAATTCTTCAAGAAAAAATTATCATACTAATACTTCTCCATTTCGCTCTTAAAAATCATCTACAAATAGATGCCCAAAATTAACAAGGGAGGCAAGAACAATGAAGAGATAAGGAAAATGAAAGACACTAAAACTAAATAACCAACCAGCTGAAATATTTTTAGCACAAAAGGCACTTAATAAGCTCGGACGAATTTACAGTTAGGCAAACGAGTGACGAGCTGGTAGATTCAAAAGTGACAATGGAACTGTAAATTATTACTTACTAATTAGAAGAGAAGATCCCTGATAGAGTGCTGAGCATAGACTCTGTTGTTATATCTAATGGAAATGTCCTTGTGGGCCATAATCAAAATAGGCTCGGGGTTTGTAAAGTTTATGAGCGTAAGAAAAATGAGATGGGAGAGATAGTCAGGGGTATTGCTGAAAGGAGCTGCTGCCACCTCAGCTGTTAGTTAGAATATTACGATGTAATGTTAAGGGGGAGTTTGTGTGTTGGTTGAGTATTATATAAGAACCTGTGTAGTTAAGAGAGACTCTCTTCTTCTCTAAATACCATTCTACTGCTATGGTTATCGTTATCATGTATGAGAGCTTGCTCTCTTTTCTTGATATTTTAGCAATATCACTCATATTTTCGGTTCCACTTTTCTCTGTTTTACCAATTCCCCTCTAACAGAAGGAGTTGTCATAGGTTAAAAAATGCAGCACACCAAAAGGACTAACCCCTAAATCTAGAGCAACTAGCTCCTAATTCCAAAATGACAAAAAAGAAGAAACTTAGCTCTCATCCCACAAACAGATTCATAGAAGTAATTAATACAAGAGCAATAAAATACTTGACCACAAATATAATTCATCTAGCAAGATAAAAAGACACTTCGCCCAACACTAACTCTTATAGAAAAATACATGCAAGCAAAAAAAAAATCTATACCTCTAAAACAAACATATCATCTTTATACTTTTCTGCATGACCAGATGCCTTCCACAGCTCCATGTTATACATATTTGGTGATATAACCTGATGATTACATCCAAGTTGTAGTAAGCACTTGCAAAAGGATTGCTTTCAGTCATATCAAGAAACTTCTATACTAAACTTTACCTCATGATATCCCCTGTCTCTGTACTGATTTCGAATGAAGTTCATGAGTTTGTTGTAGACGCGAGTACCGTGTGGAAGAAAAAACCAGCTTCCCGGGCTAACATAAACAGGACAGACCAAGAGACAGCAGTAAGAAAAACTTACTAAATCCTGAAATCAGACATGAATGAACCCACTATACCTCCACTCGTGATGAAGAATAAGATCTTGTTTCACCCCCAAAATCCTGTGATCGTACTTTTTAGCCTCTTCAAGCCGATGCAAATATTCCTGAAATAAGGAGAGAAAAAGAAACATGATCAAATCATAAAATCATAAGCAACCATATGGCATGGCACTCTTTAAGGATTCTAAATAAATAAGTTATTTATTCAAACAGTTAAATATTTCAATTTCCAATGCATTGAATACACAATTTTTGATAAAATTAAAAATTAAAAACTTACTATTTTAGACTTTTAAAGAATACCCTTAGAACCCTCATTAGCATTTTCTATATTATAAATATAAATAAATACACAATAAAGTCATATGTATTACTCCTGGACCCTGGTACTCTATCAGCATTAAAGACACAATTTCAGACTATAATGAATATTATCAGAGTCGTAAATTATTTCGAAGAATGACAAAACCATGGTACTTAAACATGATATTATTTAGTGAATGTTTGCATGTAAAAATATTTTAAAAATGTCAAATGAATATGAGATTTAATGTAATTTATTTTATAGATACATGGAAGCCATTACAAAAATTATTTGGCCTTTTCAAATGAAAGCACATAAAAACCAATTTATAACATCCTACAGATATAGTATACATTGTACTAAAAAGCATGAGTAGTTCCCACAGTTTGGCCAGTTTACCAATCGAACTTCAGTTTGGCCGGTATAAAGACTGGCTGGAATATCTAAAGGACCAGCTAAATTGGTTTACTCTAGCTTTATAAAAAGGGTGAATACTTGATACCTAGAAATGGATCACTTTGGACAATAGATAGCTCAAATAATTACATCCAAAAGTTGTATACTTGATATGATTGAACTTATTGTGTCAATAGCGCGCTACAGCAGAATAGAATAGGGGCAGTAAGGTTCAGCAATAGTGGGTGTCGCAGCTGCAATTTGTGGCAAAAACCGCTATCGCAACCGCTATTAGGGTTTCGGGGCAAAATTCCTCAAAGCCTTTCTTCTAACCCCTTATATTTTTCAAGGGTATAAATGCCAATTCAAACTCTTGTGAGAGTAAAATTTTGTTCTTGATTCCGTTAAGTTCTTGCTCACAAACAATTGTTATGTTCCTCCTATTATTGGTTCAGCTCTGTTATGTTTTTCTTCTCTGATTAAGTTTTATTGCTATGTACTTTAGGTTCTTTAATTAGTAAATATGAGGGTCTATTTAATTTTCTATAGGTGCTATTTATGTTTACTTTGCAAAAGCACCTATTGCGTTATCAGCTATAGCATTTTAGGGGGTAGGTGCTATGTGACTGCTATCTGGGATTAACACCATAGGATTTAACATGGCATTATATAAGCATAGTACGTATAGCAGCACAATCTAAATATTATTCAAAAATACCACAGTTACACAGGCCAGAGAATCTAAGGCACTGACAAACGCTATAACACACCGTTATCAACAATTGGGTATTTTCTTATTCTTAAAGGTTATTCAACTAAGACTCAGTCTGTCACAACTCAGTCTGTGATTTGGCATAGCTACTAGAGAAATATCGTATGAATTGAAATCACCTTTAAGCTCTTCTGATCAGGATAAGATATGCCATAAACTCTTTGTAAACTTTCTCTATCTTTGTCTCCCCTCCAATATGCTGACGAAGCCTAGAATTGCAAAACCGAAGTGTTAGCATTGAAATGATTTTTTGGATAAACTAAACTCAATTATAAATGGTTCCATAAGACATATTTAATACATACCTTTAAACATGCAATTGCTTTGACAAAGGATGTATTAGGAATATGCGGTCCTCGACACAAATCAATTAGGGGTCCACATCTGTACACTGTTATTGTCTTGTCCGCGGGCAAATCATTGATAATTTCGACCTGATAACAATTGCCACACAACCAAGGCACCAAATCGTCATATCATTAATTATTGGTGAACAAAAATATGGAAAATAGTACACACATATTAATATGATTACCGGGTAGAAAAGATAAGAAAACTAATGTCAGAAACAAGAGTGTAAGTGCACTTGCCTTAAACTTATTATCAGAAAATATCTCAAGTGCCTGGTCACGTGTCACTTCAATACGCTCAAAGGGTTGTTTTTCCTGCGAATATAACCATTATCATCCATCACATTTATTTACTAACATAAAAAATATATATATATTTTATTAGTAAGAATGAACATTAACATCTATGAATTCTGAGTTCATAGTTTTGGTCTTTAACACTCGAGTTGGGAGATGAAAAAAATGGAAATGACAACTGGACCAAAATTTCAAGATTAAAGGGGGATATTATAACATCTTGCATAGTGTTTGGAAACTTCAAAAAAATGAAATGATTTGATTTGCTTTTGAAATAATCTTATACCTTTGGAGCCCATTATAAAAATGAGATCCGGATTGATTTAGATTTTGAGAACTAAAGGTTACGTATGGAATTCATTTGATTTTGTTTCAATAAATTAAAATATTTAGTAAGGTTCGAACAGTCTATCTATATCGAACTAAATTTAAAATAAAATCAGTTACCACCAAATCATACCAAATTTTATATGAATTGTCAAACAAAAGCAATGACATCCATGGGTGGGTCTTTAAAATAATCATACAAGATTTAGGTTCCTCTAAAGTGAGTTTAAAATAATCATACAAGATTTAGGTTACTCTAAATTGAGTTTGCCGGCAAAATAAGTGAATATCTACCTTTTACTTAATTTGTAGTGTATAGAGATCCTTACCCTTAAAATTCAAGGGTGAATACCTAACTACTTACTTGTTTAGACAGTGTATAGAGATCCTTACTTTACTTGTTTTAACATTCCTTCCTAACCCATGATTTGACTAACAAACCAAATAAAAACTCATTTTACAAAATTTTCAAAATGTTGGCGAACACAGACCTTCAAGAATGAGAAATATATGCAAAGATGCTAAAATTTGAAAGACAACTTGATACTTCATTCCCTCAATGCTCAACTATGAAGGTTCTGCCATAACACTAAAACTCCAGGCTTCAAGGACAGAGGAACATAAAAGGGGGTAAAGTATTAAATTAAATGTTAATCACTGTAACTAGAAACAATCCCAATAGCAAAGCAGCAGCTAAAGAAGCTAGCAGGACTAAGCCAATGTTCTAAAAACTAGACAATTCAACACGTTGAACCCTGAAGTGGACGTCGCAACCAAGGTTTTAAATAAAAGTCACAATTGCGATACTGATTGTGGTCGTCTCGTCGAAATGTGAATTAACCACAATTCCTTTTACATCATAAAAACGGTGAATTAACCACAATTCCTTTTACATCATAAAAACGGTGAATACCGATAAGCAACATTTTGTCACGGCCGTTTTCGTGGTAATGGATTCCGTTTCGTTTTTAGAACATTAGACTAAACATTAAATATAAATGAAATAAAACAAACCATACAATGCAGGATAAGGATGAGAAAAACTACCGCAACAGCCTTCAACGCTCCAGCTTCAATTTGTTTAAAGTGATCATCATTCAAACCCAATTCACCATAAAATGCGTCATAATAGAAGCCCTAAACAACAAAAACATAATCAACTTCTCATTCAAAAATCCTCTCATACAAAACATCAACAAAAACAACAAACAATGTATACACACACCTCTCCTCTGGTAGTACAAGGCCCAATGCAAAGCTTGCATCCATACTCTGTTTCAAGAGACTACACACACACAAAACATCATCATCACTATCAATATACTCAATCTCAATTGAACTGAAATTGAAGCAATAAATAAACAATTGAAACACAACCTGGCCAAGAATGTGAGCACTAGAATGCCAAAAAGTGTCACGTCCTTCATCATCATCAAACTTAAATATCTGAAGTAACGAATCCTCTTCAAGAGGACGATTCATATCCCATAGGACACCATTGACCTTGGAAATAAGAGCATTATTCGCTAAATTCTTAGAGATTTCACGAGCCACGTCGAACGGAGTTGTTTGCCATTTCTTTCCTTCCTTCACTTTTCCGTCGGGGAGTGTAACCTTGATCGGATCCGGTGAGAGTGATAGCCGGTGAGTCTTTTGCTCCGCCTGAATCGCCTCGAATAAACTGATGCGCTTTGGGATGGTCGCGTTTAGGTAGGATTCGTCCTTAGCGTGAACAACCATTGCGGCGGAAGGTGAATAGAAACGGTTAGTGAGGTGATGAAGGAATGAGGTTGAAGAAGAGTTACGGCGCAAACGGATTAGAGAGCATAGCATATCATATCATAGTGTGTCTGTGTTTGGTTTAAGGGTTTGTGGGTTTTGGTGCCTCAAGATTATTTATTCTTTGTTTTACTGTATATTCAACAAGAAAATTTTAAACTACCAAATTATATTAGTAACTTAAAAAACAAAAGTGTAATGTGACAGAATATTTTTACAAGTTAAAAATATTTTAATAATTAATTACTATATACGGTTGGTTCATTACCATTATTTTAGTATTATTTTATTAATAATTAAAATAAAAATTTATTTTTTTTAATATTTAACGATTATGATTAATTAATAGTATAAAATTATTTTCTATTGACAATGCACTTCAATTAAATCTAACATTTTAATTAAATTTAACATTTTAATTAAATCTAAATAACAATAGTTTGTTTTATTTTTTCAATAATATTTATATTTGTATCTGTATGTGTTTACATTTTATTTTTTAAGTAGATATTTATTATAATTTCTAAGAAAAAATTTGTGCCTCTGCACGTATCTATTAATTTAATCAATATAAAATAAATTTAAATATACTTATAAATTTAAAGTGAATTATATAATTATGCTATATTATACTTCACCTATTCAACCAATTACCTAACATTTCACAATTCAACCAATTACCTAACATTTCACAATTCAACCAATTAATAACTAATGAGAGTCTCGTATCCATATTAAATATATAGTGTACTATCATATTTAATGAAACTGAAGCGAAAAAATGATAAGTAATCTGAGAATGCAAATTTAATATGAATTTGACAACATTTGGAACAAACAATTTAATTGCTACTCTAGATATTGAGAGAATAATTTTACACAATTTCTTACCCTAAATACTTACATCAAATAGGGTTTATCATATTTAAACGGTGAAGTATTTTTATTTTTTAAATAAATAAAAAATAATATTTATAATATGTGAACAGTGTGAGAATATTGTGTGAACAGTGCATGAATAGTATGTGAACAGTTTCTTAAAATAGTGAAATAAAGTTGGTTAATAAAATGTAAAAAGTTGATTAATAAAGTGATAAACGTTCAGATGTTGAAAATAATTTTTAGTAATAAATTAAAATTAATTAATGAAATATAAAAAGTTTGTTAATGAAATTATGAAGTTGGTTAATAAGCGTCTAAATATTAAGAATAATTTTTAACCACTTTCACCAACGACGACGACCATGATCCCGACATAGTTGTCCCTGTCGAGGAGGGTGACCCTAGGGACGGGCGCACCACATCTCCTTCCTCTAACATATGGCCGACAACGCCGCCCAAAGATTCGAAAGTCCTGTTGTTTTCCAACTCATTCTTGTGTCGCTCGACGCCGACCCGGCCATGTTGGCCTTGTTTGCGGCGATCAACCAGACGAACTGGATGATGTTCCAACAGAACGAACAGATTGGAATGCTGAAAAAGGAACGACAATCACGTTCTCCCCCACGGGGACATAGGCGTCCAGTTTCTCGCAGCCCGTCCCCGAGACGGCGAGAAACACATCCCCTTTCTCCCCCGCGGAGACATCAACGGGACGAATCTCGAAGTCCTTTGTCGCGACAACATGGACGTCTCCCACGACTAGAAAGGCCTCAACCCGTAGCAACCCAGAAGCGCAACCGCGACCCTCCTCAAAAGGAGCGACGCTCCCCGAGACCCAAAAGAAGCAAAGCTGACGGGCAGATGAAGAAACCGAAGAGTCGACCGAGGAGCCCTCCTCGCTGCGGCAGGATCCCTCAGTACGACCCTTCCCCTTCCCCGTCACAGTCACCCATCAGAAGCGACGAGGACAACCCCTGCACTCCGTTGTCCAGGGCTATCATGGAGACTTGCCTCCCCGTCGGGATGGAGAAACCACTGAGTCTGGCGACCTACGATGGCACGAATGACCCGGACACCATATTGAGAGCATCAACGCAATACTCGATTACTGCAACTTCTAGGGACCCATAAAATGCAGACGCTTCCCGACGACCTTGAGAAAGGGCAGAATGGCGTGGTACAAGAGCCTCGAACCTGAATTTATCACCTCCTAGAAAGAGTTGAAGAGATAGTTATTTAGGCATTTCACCGCCTTTCAGCGACATCCGAAGACGGAGGCATCTCTGGAAGCTATCATTTAGGGAAAGGACGAATCTCTCCGGGACTATATAGAGAGATTCAAATCGAGAGGTTGTCCAGGTGTCCACGATGAACGGCATGAAAAGATATCTGATCTAGCGAGTTTTACGACCCCGTAGAGATTTCACCAAGGCGGTTAGTATCGAAAGACCCAACATGCTAGACGAACTCCTTCACAAGTGTAACGCCCCGACTCTGAATTTCCTTTATTTTGAGTCCTTTCTGATTTAATTAATTGAATTATTATTTTAAATGTGGAATTGTGTGTTAATATGTTATTTGTGCATATTGTGCTATTTTTGCCTACTTTGAGAGTTTCGGGTAAAAATAGACCGGAGGGTATTTTGGGCATTAGTAATTATGTTAAGTGGATATTTTATGTGAATTGATTAATTAGTGTGTGGAAAGAATTTGAGAGGAAAGAAAAGAGAATATGAGTATATGAGAGAAAAAGAGAAAGTTAGGAAGGGAGATAGAAAAATAAAGGAAAGAAAGGAAGAGAAGAGAAAGAGGAGAGAAAGAAGAGGAAAAACCTAGAACTTCAAGAAATCATCACCAAAGCTTTCGATTGATCGGGTAAGGGTGTGAAACTTTATTATTCTATCAATGTGTATATTCATGTATGATTTTGTTGGATTGTTCTGGATTGTTGGTAGTTTTTCTACACTTTCCATTTTAGGTTGGATTTGGTTTAATCGATAGAAATCGTTGTCTAACGGCTAGAATCGTGATTAGATGACGTAGATTAGTCGATATATGTTAGACTAAGGCTGTTGGATATGAGTTAGAGTTCATCGGGTGATTTTATCGGTGGTTTTGGATTCTGAACAGCGGGGAGAAGTGGAAATCGCAGACGCTCGCTAGCAGTTCGCTAGGCGAGCAGGTCGCGAATGGTCGCTGGTAATTCGCTAGGCGAGTGCGCAGCGAACGGTCCCAGACTTGGGACAGAATGGTTTTAATGTCCCTCGCTGGCAGCGAAGGGAGTAGCGAGGAGCTCGCTGGAGGTTCGTTGTGGCGAACGGTGTAGCGAACGAGGTCTGTAGCCTCTGTGCTGGCTCGCTAGCAGTTCGCTAGGCGAGGAGGTAGCGAACGCTCGCTAGCAGCTCGCTAGGCGAGCGTGTAGCGAACGTAGCAGGATGGATTTTCCCTGTTGCGGGGTGCTGTCGTGGCTTGGGGTTTCGGTTGCGATCGACCCTTCTTTGATTTAGTAGTTTATATGTTGGGTTGTGTTGTGCTGTGGGTAGCCGTATGGTGTGAATCCTAGATTATGAATTGTGGCCGCTTGGGCAATTATGTGCATTGTTTAGCCTGATTAAAAATCTATGATGTTTGTATGAATGTGTAGAATGCATGAGTATGTTTGTAAACATGTGTGCATTTCAAGAGTGTCATGAGTCATGTTGCATATGAAGCATCATGGTATGCATTCTTGTGTCGATTGATTCCTCGGTGAATCTGCAGAACCTCGTGTGCCCTTGTGGGGTGTGAGCGATGGTTAATTATTGATCCCTCGGTGAATCTGCAGAACCTCGTGTGCCCTTGTGGGGTGTGAGCGATGGTTAATTATTGATCCCTCGGTGGATTTGCAGAACCTCGTATATTACGATGGTTATTTTGATTCCGCGTAGAATCTGCAGAACCTCGTGTGCCCATGTGGGGTGTGAGCGATGGTTATTTGGTTCTTCAATTGAACCTGCTGAAATGAGTCGGTACCGCATTTGCATCTGCATAGAGTCGTGTGTCGGTCTCTATGAGTTGCATGTTGACATCCTGCATGGTGTATGGTGAATGAACATAATTGTAAATGTTTATATGAATTGTTGATGATTGGCATGATTGGTATGCTTGAAGACACATGTATGTGTGAATATATGAATATGTATGTTTTGTGTGTTTATGAACCGATATAAACATTGTTGACGCATATTTTATATGCATGATATTCTATTTGTAAATAGATAATGTGAATACATTGCGATGTACGGTATGACGAGGTGAGTTGCGGTGAGAATGCGAAAGACGTATATTGGGTATTATGTATATATATATATGTTTTTATGCATTGTTATTATGATATCGTTTCTCACCCTTCTGTTGTTTCTTTTAATGCTCTATGAGGCATTGCAGACTAGATTGCTGGAGGTATTTTGTGAAGCGTGGCTTCTTCCCTTTTTGGTCGGTCGGCTCTGATATGTAGCACCGGGTAGATAGGATTTATTTTGATTCTTTTGTGAAACATCTGAGTATGTATCTGCTGTTGATATGTGTTGTAAAACATGATGAATGATAACTGTATATGTGAATACATGTTTGGTGAATTATGAAATATTTGGATATTTCCGCCTTTGTTCTAAATATTTCTTGTGGGTGTTATCCCGTTGTTGCATATATGTTGAGCAGGTGTTGTATGTGTTGGAATTTTTATGATAATGTGATATTTCCCTTTTATGCCATGTTACAAATGTACTCTGATGAAATTTTAAATTTATGCCTAAATGATTAATTGTATTATTTGGGGGCATAGAAAGGGGGTGTTACATTAAGTGGTATCAGAGCCCAGTGTTGAGTCAGTTGTATCTGTCTCACTGTTTTGTTGGTTGAACGGTTGTTTGACCCTGTTGTTATTTTTGGGAATAATCAGAATATGGCTGGTCGTAATGACAACGCGATGGCTGCGGCATTGGAAGCTATGGCTCGAGCGGTGCAGGGTGCGCCGAATGTGAATGCTAACGATGAGTTTAGAAAGAATCAACCGCCGGTGTTCAAAGGAAGGTTTGATCCGGACGGTGCTCAGATTTGGCTGAAAGAGGTCGAGAGGATCTTCAGAGTTATGAATTGCGCTGAGAGGAACAAGGTGAGACTTGGGTCTCACA